CAAATCAGCCATTGTTTGATGAAGATGCTGAACCAGATTTCCAGCCCTTTGATCAGCAAATAGTATGGAGATGGGGGACGGTTTTGAGAGGCGTCATACGTTACTGTTGATTTGATAGATACTGGTTTGGAAAAGTTAAATATTTTTTACCAAAATGCCCCTTTCAACTTTGTTTACTTGGGTTTATTAAATTTTAAACTTTAAAAATTAAGTTTTTTTCATTATTAATCTTGACCGTTTATTTTAAGATTGGATGGCCAAGATCGGTTAACAAAATTAATACAAAAACTTTGGTTAACATTTGATCTTGGTCATATAGGGTCTGGTTCAAATGTTAACCAATATTATTGTGTTAACTTTGTTAACCAATCTTGACTATTGATTCTTACAATAAACTGTTGTGATTAATCATGATAAAAATTTAATTTTTTAAATTTACAATGGGGAAAAAGGTATTTAGGTAATTTTTTTTATTATGTAACTCCCATATCATTAATTGGGACTTACAAAATCAAAAAAATCTAAGAACCATATGAACACACACACACACACACACACACATATATATATATATATAGGGGAGCGTTCAAATAAAAACCACTCAAGTTGTACAAACCATGAAAACCACATTCAACCAATCATAATTTTTCATTTTGTTCATTTTTTTGTAATTATGAGAGGTTGATAAACCATTTTTATTGTGGAGGGTGTTAATCATGGATATTATCATATTCATTATTTTAATTCTAGAGAAATACATGAAACAAATTCATTAAAATTCCATTAAATATTATATGAAACAATTTCATAACCATTTATGAAACAAATTCATCAAAAAAAAGTATTATAAGAAACAATTTCACAAGATTAAACAATTTCATGAAAAAATTTCTTAAGATTAAACAATGAAATCGACGTATAAGAGTGATTTGTACGGTTTGTACAAATGAGGGTGGTTTTCATTTGAACGCTCATATATATATAGGGACATATTCAAGGAAGAACTGACGAGTTTGTGGTAACCGTGAGTTCCAATCTTAACCACAAATCAATAGATAAATTAGGAAATTTATAATTTTGGTAATTTTGAATTAAAATTTTAATGCAAGGACATTTTAGGTATTTTTTTCTCCTTTCTCCTCTCTCCTTCCTCCGTCCTCCGGCCACCGTCCTCCGGTGATACCACTGTGATACCTAAAAATATTGACTCTGTTAAACAAAAGACAGAGTGTGATACCCAAACATATATAAGATGCATTGTGATACCACTGTGTTATATCTTTGATCGACCACACAAACGACCTTTGTGTGATACCCAAGCACATATATGATGCATCGTGATACCATTGTGGTATCACTGGAGGACGGTGGCCGCGGGACGGAGAGAGAAGAGAGGAGAGTTTCAAAATACCTAAAATGTCCTTGTATTAAAATTTTAATTCAAAATTACTAAAATTATAAATTTCCTAATTTATTTATTGATTTGTGGTTGAGATTAGACCTCACGGTTAGCACAAACTAAGTAGTTCTCGTTTGATTAGGCCATATATATATATATATATATATATATATATATATATATATATATGAACCATTGTGTCAAATACGAACAAAAATTGATATATATATATATATATATATATAATCTTGGACTGCATAGCATTTATGAACACAATATGAACATAACAAGAATAGCTGCTACACGAAAGGAAATAAATAAATAAACATGTATGAACACAATATGAACAGTTTGTGAACAATAGTTCCTTTATTATGAACATATTCAGGAGCGAGCCAATGTAGAGATATGCAACTAGTATATATATGAACACAATATGGACACTTATGAACAATAGTTCCTTCATTATGAACATATTCAGGAACGAGCCAATGTTGAGATATGCAGTTAGTGTACATATGAACACAATATGAACAGCTTGTGAACAATAGTTCTTTCATTATAAACACATTCAGGAGCGAGCCAATGTTGAAATATGCAACTAGTGTACATATGAACACAATATGAACACTTGTGAAGAATAGTTCATTCATTAGGAACAATGAGTTTATCCATAATAGCTTAAACGATACCGAAAACTTTACTACCAAGTCTCTTCTACCAATCACAAATTCAAAAACATTATAGGAACATATGTTCATAGATACGTACATTCATAACATGTGAACACACATCCACATATACGCCAATATACAATTGTGAACATGATCAAGCCACATAGGAAGATAATATCGTAGAAAATATATGAACACATAACCCCTATACTATGAACACCGGGTGCAATCACTTACACAATTTGACATATATGAACACCAGGTCAAACACTTACACAAATATAAAGATTTGGGAGCAAATTTTTTTACCAACAACTCGATAAGTTGACATGAACATATATGAACAAATTGTGAACATGATCAAGCCACATAGGAAGAGAATATCGTAGAAAATATATGAACACATGACCGCCATACTATGAACACCGGGTGCAATCACTTACACAATTTAACATATATAAACTCCAGGTGCAAGCACCTATACAAATATAAAGATTTGTGATCAAGCTTCAAAAATGACACTTGTGTTCATATGACACAAAATTTCGTCCATATATATACTCAAATGAGAGTAGTAACAGGAACACAATAGTTGGTTATATGACCATATGAAAATGGGTCGTGCATGGAAGTCCATTTGAACATGTGAATTAGGTACATATTAATAATTAAAGGAAAAAACTACCAACACAATATGAACTACAAAAAACACAACACATCATAATGGACATAATTTCGATTAAAACGAGTACAATAAAATATTAATCTATTACCAAGACATTCACTTTGGTTATTTTTTCTTCACTTCCCCACTCGAACTCTGATTGTCACCATAAACCATTTTAATCTTCTCAATATTGTCGAGTTCTTTTCCAATGCGTTTATCCATAATAGCTTGAACGATACCGAAGATTTTACTATTGTGTTTCCTCCACGAATCACAAAATCATAAAACAATAAAAATGGAAGATCAATATTAAAAAAATATTGTATCAATATTAAAAATGCACATGTTTAGGGATTTTATAATTTTGTAACTCCCAATTAATGATATGGGAGTTACATAAAAAAAATTACTCAACTATTCTTGACATTAAATTGTAAGCTAGATAAAAACCTAATAGAAACATGGATTATGATTGGTTGAAATGGTTTGTAAAGTTAACACAAAAATTTTGGTTAACATTTAATCTTACCTCTCTCTCTCTCTCTCTCTCTATATATATATATATATATATATAGGGGAGCGATCAAATGCAAACCACTCAATTTGTACAAACCGTGCAAACCGCATTCAACCAATTATAATTTTTCATTTTGTTCATTTTTTTGTAATTATGAAAGGTTGATTAATCATTTTATTGTGGAGGGTGTTAATCATAGATATTATCATCTTCATAATTTTAATTTTAGAGAAATACATGAAACAGTTTCATTAATGTTAGAGAAATACATGAAACAGTTTCATTAATGTTAGAGAAATACATGAAACAGTTTCATTAAGTATTATATGAAACAATTTCACAACCATATATGAAACAACCTCATCAAAAAAAGTATTATATGAAACAATTTCACAAGATTAAACAATTTCATGAAAAAAATTTCATAAGATTAAATAATGAAATCAACAGATGAAGGTGGTTTGCACGGTTTACACAAATAAGGGCGGTTTTCATATGATCACTCCTCTATATATATATATATATATAATCAACCAAGGGGTAATGACGATGTTGTGGATGAAGAAAGGCTGCAAATGTTGTTGCTGGAAAAGAAGACCGATGATGAGTTATTTGGAGATTGGGTATACCTATTATTAACATATTCAATCAATAATATAGTTTGTAGAAAGTATGCAGAAGTACCTGATCCTCATATTCATCAGCTTGCCCAAGCTTGCTAATTGATGCTTCAACAACCATATGCCATTGAATTGATCTTTCAATGACTTGGTTTTGCATATGCTTTGGCATGAATATCCATCCCTATGTTGTTAATTGGGGTGAAATAGCGGTAGCGGTCCTAGGAGAAATAGTAAGATTCTAAGTCTTTAGCATTGCTCTTACCTGGTAAGATTCTCAATCGATATCATCACTCGATAAGCTAACCTAATCTAGTAAATACTTACCGGGTAAACATTTAGTATACAGCCCCTTAAACTTTTATTACTACATAGTTAGCCTTGTAGTCTATACTTTGTTTAGGAATTGGTCCTTCGACCAAATAAGTCTCGTCTTTGTTTGTTTGGTACAGTTAAAATTGATTTTGATCTGGTATAACTTAAATTTTTTTGGCAGTCTAGCCTGGTCAAACCTTTTTTTTCCAATCCAGGCTGTCCGATGTGATCCAAATAATCATCACTTAGATATTATTTGTTTGATGCAAAAACTACATGTAACAAAATATAAGAAACTGAACGAAAAGTATATAAATCAACAAAACCTATATTTAGTGGCGGATCTACTAAGCGAGAGGGGTCCATACACCCATCCACTTGATTACTGTAAAGGGAAAAAATATATGCGTCTTGAAAGTGCACCTGCTTGATTTTGAGGGTGTCCTAACTTAAAAAAATATGTGATAATTAAGTAAATGAAATAATTAACTTAAAAATGTAATACTTAAGTGAATGAGATCATTGGAATGTGGTATCAATATATGAAAAAGACGAAAATACCTCGATTAACATAATTTGTACTAATTAGACGGTTAACAAAAGAACGTCTCTTGCCAAGGTCTTAAGATTGGCATGAAATTGGCTTCTAAATTTCAAAACTTCTATCAAATTGGAATTCGAAACTGTTGAAGATGCTCTAAATATAGTTTTGTGCCGTGCAATACAAAAATAAACACCTGCCAGTGTTACGAACGAAAAAGGATTTAAGAATCCAACCACTGTCACCAAAATTCCTGGATACAAATAGTTTGCCAAACATTGACTAACTTGGCTGCTTAGCTTCAAAACTTCTGTTAGTACAATGCAATGTTGAAGTTTAAATATAAAACCAATAAATCATATCATAAATACAATCAAAAGAATTCTCATAAATCATTAAGCTTTATAGACATAACTCGAAACCAGTAATGAAACACAATCATCAACTATATCTGAACCATAAGAATAACGTTGCATACATAGCGTTTCTGAGCCTTAGTTATTGATCAAGGGGCATCCACTCTACTCGTAGATCGATTTCTCCAGATTCGACATTTTGAAGTTTAAGTGTAACCTCTTGTGTCACCTTCCCATCAATTATATGGACAATGCTATCTTCTGACAATGCATTATCATAGGATTTCAGCCACTTTCCTATCTGCATATTGCCTAAAATGCCAGCATCCTCGAACGCCATTGCAGATGTTATCAACGGCTGAATATCGATCTCAGCTTCCCCCATTATGTCATCGGCCGAGAATGTGTCGTGATCAAAAACTTGCTGCATTCAGAAACAGTATCTTCAGACTTCAGGAAAGTTAAATTACGCGCTATAGGGCAAAGTAGCCGTTAATATGTGGAACCTATTAGATTACTCCTAGAAAGAGCATTTGAGGAGGTTCCAACATATATCAAGTAGAAAGAGTTCAAGGTTAGCCGATTCGAGACTCAAACACGCCCCATCTAACAGAGGCTAGACGGGCAAAAAATATCCTAGAGTGTCGAAAGGGGCTAGACGGGCATAGATTGTCACAGGGCGTCGAGTCCCTACAGTGGTAGACCTTGGCTCTGATTGTGAGAATATGTAAAATCCCGTTAGATTACTCTCCAAAAGAAACCTTGAGGGAAGAGAAGAGAGGTTCCAACATATATTGAGGTAAAAGGGTCCAAGTCTTAAGTGTCTAACTGCCATGAGACTCCTATACACACCCTCTGTTCCAATGGAGGCTAGACGAACTAAGATTGTCCAGAGTGTTGAGAGGGGCTAGACAGGCACAGATTGTCCCTGAGGGTCTAGTCCCTATAGTGGTAGATCTTGGCTTTGATACCATGGGTATTTATGTGAAACCCTATTAGATTACTCCCCAAAAGAGCTTTAAGGAGAAAAACAGATGTTCCAACATATATTGAAGAGAAAATGTTCAAATCTAGCCGATGTGAGACTCCAACACGTCCCCTCCAGTGGAGGCTAGATGGTTACAAATTGTCCCAAAGCGTCAAGATGGGGATAGACGGGCACAAATGGTACTAGAGTGTCGAGTCCTTAGAGTGGTAGACTATAGCTCTCATACCGTATGAGAATATGTGGAACCCAAACCCCATTAGATTACTCCCCAAAAGAACCCTTGAACTAAGTATATATTTACACATTACAAATGGAACCATGGCTAACAAGTGGTATGATCTAATTTTGTAAAGCATACACAGAACAATGTATGTTGGGCCATGAATGACTAAAATAATAAAATCTTAAGAAAATTGTAAAATCAAGCAAGAAAAACGAAATTTTTGACCGCTTACTGAAATAAAACCCTTGTTCTTGCAGAAAAATATAAAAAAACCAAGAACATGAGGTATTTTTGGGTAAAAAGTGCATTATTTTTCCCAACCATACACCAAATTTGGATGTTTAGAGAACAGATACCATGGAACAGCAGGTGTCTTCACATAAACAGTCACTACTCTCTTGGTGTAGAGAACATATCTGCGTACATCCCCACCCCCAGACCCCCGAGAGTGGGACCCACTGAGTGTGTTTGGTTTTGGTTTGGTTTGGATTGGGTTGATTATACCTTTGAAGAACAGGGGAAAAGAGAAAAGGGAAAGCATGTGAACTTACAAGTTTAACAGGCCCATAATTCTGTGGAACAGAAAGCATAAGCTCCTCATTCCAAACTGGATTCAAGTTGCTATTTCGTACACTTGTTTGGGCCTTCTAATGCCATTACCAAGCCGGAAAAGAAAACAAAGAAAGCATCACAATCATGGTTGATCATTTCCTAAAATGTGATATTTTTAAGGGATCAATATGAACATCTTAATGTTAACTGAACTTCTTCACAAATAAGTATTGAGATGTATTGTCAATTCCCAACGGCCCATCAGATACAATGAGCACAAACTTCAGTTTTCAATGAAGTCACCATTGAGGTCCAACACATGGTTGGTTTTTTTGGGGTAAATAGTATGAAAATGCAACATACTTTGGTCTGATTCCTATTTTATGTTACTTTTAAAACCTTCACTTTGGTCACTAAGATGTGATATCTCAAACATTTAGATGAAAATACATGCATAAAATAGGAATCAAACCAAAGTTCGTGCATTTTCATGCATTCTCATATGTAAACAAGGCACCTAAATGTTTGAGATGCTACATCTAAGGTGCCAAAATAAAGGTTTGGAAAGTACTTTACACAAAATATGATTCAGACCAAAGTACATTGCATTTTCATCATTCTCATATGTAAACTAGGCACCTAAATGTTTGAGATGCCACATCTGAGGTGCCAAAACGAGGGTTCTGAAAGTCTGTTACACAATATATGATTCAGACGAAAGTATGTCATTTTCATGCAATTTGCCTTTTTTTTTGGGGGGGGGGGGGGTTGATAAAAGAAGTAGAAACAAAGGGACTAACCTGATGTCCTAATGTAAGGACAACATAGGGATCACTTGTTAGCATATCTCGAACAGCAAGATCAGTGCCTTTTTGCACTGTGATCTTCAAGACTCCAATGAATTCCACCATGCCTTTCTGTGATCAGTTTCAACATCAGCTATCGATTTGCTGAAATCACCCAAGTGATGGTAAAAGCTATACTGCACATGTAATTCTGTAATAAACTTACGGCACTCGGGATACTGTCAATCTTTCTTGAAAAACTCGCTTTCAGAGAGCTACTGTTAGAAGACAAGATCCTCAAGCTTGGTTTCATGAATTCCTGAAGCTCATACTTGGACCTCCATGAAAAAAATGATAAATTCTGAGTAATGAACAAAGATGACCACTAAAACCATCACGCACATTTGTTCAAGTCTTGGATGCAGAAAAAAGATCTAACGGTGGTGATCAGGATTTTAATAAAGACAGTAATAAAATCAAAATAGAGCCCCTCAATTACTTTCCAAAATCTTCAATTTTTTCAAGATGTTCCAAAACGTTTTTCCAAGTTGGGGGTCTTCACAGAATCAGTTTTTCTACCCTTTGGGGTAGAGGATAGGTCTGCGTACATCCTACCTCCCAGGCCCAACTTCCAGGTGAGATATAGAGTACTTTTGGTTGGTCTTAATTATAAAATTGAAGTTACTTTGATTAGTAGGGAAATCATGTTTCATGGATATGAAATCACGCAAGCTGTGAACTTATGAACAAAAGGGCATGAATGACAACCTGATAAACTTTGACCGGTGCTCTTGACTTGCATCTGGTTTAGGCTTAAAAATTCCTTCAGGAATATATGCCTCATAAATCGAATTTGCAGATGCATTTCCTCCAACTTCGATCATGGCATCAATTTCACCCTCAGTCCATGCATCCAATGTCACTGATAAAACCTGTCCAGTTCAGTTTAAGATCGATCAGCTGTCACATGTGAACTCAAAACTTTCAACTTATCAAGTGAAGAGAAAACTTGATAAGTAATTACTGTAAGTGACATTGGCCCAGCGGTACTGGGTTACTGGTAAAGCCCAGCCTCCCAAGACCTCAAGAGTTCAAACCTCACCATAGGTGTATAAATATTATGTACTTAAGAGAACATGATAAAGATGTTCAGTATCTAAACAGTCTGATACCATTCGGCAAAGAGGGTACGACGCCACCCTCTGGAGCACCCCCCATCATACTGGGTCCCACAAGTCATCATGGGGAGGTAAATTGTGTGTCTCAGGGGCAGGTGGGTGGCGCTTGGAGTCGAACCCCAGACCTTCCACTCATTCTGTAAGGATGTCCACCTCATTACTCGCTAGGCTGAAGCTGTGGGGAGACAGTCTGATACCATGTTAATAGGTTTTCTCAAAGGCATGACAAAATATTTCTTTTAGATAGACAATAAAAAATCCTTCTTTTGAATATGAATGAAGGCAGGAATACTAATTTTTATTTGAAGAAATATAGTTGATACTTTTGTTCACACTCTTGCACAAGTCGGGAGTCTTGACGGAAACGGACGCTCTACTCTCATGGGATCGAGGCCAGGTTTGCGTACATCTCTCCTCTCAAACCTTACTTTCGAAAGGGATTTACTAGGTCGGTTTGGTTATAGTTGATATTTTAGAAAAGGTAGCCAGTTTTATATACCGAATGCTACTTTCTGCATAGAGAGAGATTTCAAAGGGAGGGATGATATGTACCTTTGAAATATGAACACCGAGACTTCTGTGCACGCCACAACATTTTAAGCATATGAACACTCCAATGTTGGCTGACCTGAAATTCAGAAGAACTTTTTCATACAATCATACAGGAAGAAATCGAGCATTACATACAAATAGAAAGACCAAGCAAGACAAAGAAAAATGAATCATCACCAAGTCCTTTTATCCTAATTCATCAAACAAGATTACATTTTCCTTCATTTTCTTTAATTTTACAGCTTCCCAATCCAACAATTTCCGATATTTGTGTCTTTAAGAGCGAGCAATTAAAGTTGATACATATCATATATTTAGAAGTCAAAACATAATTAAAACCTCCTCTTGAACCATAAAAACTAGGTGATCAAGATCCATGCATTGCTCCCTTAGAAAGCCTTTGAGAAAGGCATTCTTGATATCCGGCTAATAGAGCGCCCAATAGGTATCAACGTTCTAGCAATACATAAGAGAACATTTTGGCCAGACCAAGAAAATAACCGCATATTATATCCCATAGAGCATAAAATAGCCTTTAGCCACAAGACCGGCTTTTAGATTCAAAAGGGAGATCCTCAGAATGTGTAACAATACAACTATACAAGTATATCATAATCAAAGAAAAATGCATAGAGCATCAGCAATGATATAAAACCATAAATATGGTACCAAGCATGAACATATACATGCATACATACATACATACATACAAACACAATCATATACATATAGCATTCCTTGAAAAGTTGGAGAATATGCGTCGAGCATTCCTAACTTGCTACATATAACATCAACTGTGCTTGTTACACGGACTGGACTGGATGGGAAGGGACAGGACTAGACAGCGAGAGTGAGGCGAGTGAAAGAATTGTGGAAGGTTTTAGGGTTTTTATTTGACATTGGTAGTTTAGTGATTTACCAATCTTCTCTCGTCTCACTTATTTTGGTGGGACAAAAAAATGTATTTTTTGCCCCACCAAGTCCTATCCTGTCCCAGTCTAATTTCACGCCAAACATAGGTTTTTGTTCTATTATGTCTCGTCCTGTCTCGCGTACCAAATGCACAGGGACTTGATATAAAAGGCCTGACATCTGACTCTGAGGGGCTGTTTGTTTGGCTCTTAATGGTGACATTAAGAGCCAACCTCTTAATTGCTAAGAGGCAAGGGTTGTTTRGCAACAAAAAAAGAACCTCTTAATGGTTACAAAAGGCTCTTAACCATTTAGGGGCTAGGGCTCCCCTCAACGATTCAGAGGGGTCTTCTTCCATTTTTGCCCTCCTTCCTCCTTCCAGTCGATCTCGTCTCCTCCCACCCTCCTTCCTCCTTCCAGTCGATCTCGCCTCCTCTCCCGAGTTGCTGCTGTGTCGCCTTCTTCCCAACCCCTCTCTTCACGCACGTCGCTTCTATTCCACAGTCGCCGTCCCCGTCTCCGGTAGCCTCCGCCTCCATCGTCTCCGCCTCCACCAGCGAGTATTTAAGGTTGGGTCCTTGTTTGTGCTTTCCTCGACACCGCAGAATCTAACCATCATGCTTTGAAATCGTTCTTCCTCTCGTTCCTTGCTTCGTCGCACAAGAAATTCATTCCCTATCTCTGAGCTCTTTGTGAACCTCGAAACTGATATCTCTTATAAGAAATCGGCAGATTTTAACGACCATAGTGATAACATGGCGTTTGATTGTGTTCAGGCTGGTCACCGGAGTTAATCCATCGGATACGAAACTCCAATCGAAAGGTCCAGGAACAAGGGCAAGAATTTAGGGTTTAGATGATTCTCGATGATAATTTATTAGAGAGGGTTAAAATGGTAATTTATTATCATTCAGAGAACAGTTACCAAACAACATTATTTCATTCAGCACTTAACCATTTTGACCCTCTCAACCATTCTGACCTCTTAACTATTCTGCACTAAATCATTCAGCAACTGCCAAACAGCCCCTGAGTAGGTATAGATGAGAGAGCGTTATGTAACTTTTAGTGCATTAAATAGACTGCCATGTATGCTATTCGTAACTGTAAATCCGATGAAATTGTATTGAGGATAATATATATGAAAGGTAATTGAGATTGATAGAACTTACGCCCACTTAGGGTCAGGTGCACCACAATCAGCACAAGTTCGATTATCACGTTGCTGCAGTAGATCTTTTAATTTTCTGTTACCTACATAATCAGGACGGGTTCTTTAATCTACTAGACCAATCAATTGAACCATTGTCATATTCAAGAAGCTACATTTATGGATGTACCCACATGACTTGCCACCAAAACTTCATGGAGAAAAACAAAGTAAGAAACGGGAAATAAAAATCACAAAAAGAGTAGATATCCAATGACAGTGATTGATTAGTTCTAATCAACTCAGCATGTTTCATAAGTAGCTGACGTTATGTCCAAACTGTTAACAATATTGTGGTAAATGATTAAGAGAAAATGTGCGTTTGCTGATCGAAGTAGTGCTGAATAGAATATAGCCAGCAGACTTAGAATATGTCACTCCAAGTACCCTGAAATCTAATGCTCCACATGAAGTCTGTTGGAAATTCTGTAATAGAAGTAGTCTTGTTTCAAGCCTACTGCGTAACCTAAAGCGCAAAGAAGGATCTGGGAGTTCCTGAGCCAAGATTCACACCCGCTTTTGACTATTACATATTTATCCAATTTGTGCTGTTCAAAGGGATTTCCTCTTAAACATTAAACTACTTTATCTCCCTACCTATTTTGGACTAGTAGCAGGAGGTTTGCAAACAAAAACCACCACCTCACAAACAGAGAAACAATCTACCTCTGTATGTTTGGTACACTTATTAACTCCGTTGTACTCTGAGATGGACTTAGGGGCTGTTTGTTTGCATCTGAATGATGTTATACGGATGCTCTTAATCAATCTGGTCACTTAATCATTCACACAAAATCATCCCGTGGATCATCATGGAGGCCCCACAACCAACTGGATGAGCTTCGGATTATTAAAGAATTTGCTACCCAAGAGTCAGAGTATGATAGCCATGATCAATATATCTAACACGAAGATGCTCATATAGGACCTAACTACCTTAATGACTGAGAAGCAATTGAGGCTCTGAAAGTCCCAAATCTAAAACTACCTTTTGGTGAATGTTTCAGAGCTAAAATCGCTATGTACCACTTCTCATTATTTGTACTGAATAAATAAAATTCTCTAACTAATAGTTTGTATTTTGCTTGGTTGTCATCATTTGACATTGAATGTCAACCTTGCCCTTGTCAACTTTACAAATCACTTATTTTACATTCTTTACACCTTTTTCTATCTATAGTAATTGTCCCTTCCATGAAGAACTTCATTCCCTCGAAAACTAATTGTATTAGTTAGGTATTATAGGATCAAGATCAATTTCTCAACTGTTGTGGAATTCAGGACTCCTAATTGACAGATTCAGCAGCACTTATAGATCCTTGCAGTTCAATAGACGCACATACAAATTTCTTGCATCTTTATTATGATGAAAAAAGTAGAAACTTTAACAGAGAATTTAATACATAAGAGCAATCGAGCTTCAAGATCTTGTCAAATTAAAAGCATAAACACATACTAGCAATATATAACGGATTCTAGAGTATCCCACATGATGATTAACTTGAAAAGAATGATCATCCTCACACATAACGCATAATTGAGCCCATTAAGTCGACCTGCTAGGGTTTATGCACGGGGAAACCTTAAATTAACATAAAATGGCACCATAAGTTCCATCGATTATGTGAATCATACCAGAAGATGTTTTCCCAAGTGCCGCTGATGCGTAACTCATTCTTTTGCCCACAATTGTCAAACAGAACTTTCACTTGTTTATCAAATTACAACTCGATCTCAAATTAAAACTATTATAGTTTCTAAGTGCTACTGGAATGATCGATTGAAAAATGAACAACTTCAAAATCCACAATAATGGATTATAGGTGCAGTTGATTGAGAAAGATGAACTAGAATCAATGAATGGGAAAGAATGTTGATGAATATGTGTTTAGAAATGATGGAAAGAAGATAAAGTTGGGAGTTTGTGAATTGGGACGGCTGTTAACGTTTGCGTTGGAGGTAAAGAGGAATATGATGAGAACGTGTTGTTGGTTAACGTTCCGTAAAGGAGGGCGGCTTTTTCGATGTCCTGTTTGCAAACCCTGTATGTAATGAAGTCAATTTTGTTTCTTGAATAAGCTTAATCTTCTAGAAACATGTTCAAGGTTCAATTTTAGTAAGCTTAATCTCCATGGGATCGATTGCATTGGATTGGTTAAGTAAAGTAAAGTAAAGTAGCAACCGGTCAGGTTAGAGAGGCTCTTAAAAAGAACAACTTTTAATAATTGGTAAATGACAGTTATGGGGTTTAACCGCATCGTTATATGTGGGAACCACTTTTCCACCTCCGGTGTATCATCCACGCGGCGTGGCTCTCTGTTTGTGACTTTGAGCTACTCTACGATTGTGCTTGCAAGTCTCTCTATATCAAGATGGTTTGCCTCACTTTTTGATTATTGAACTAAATGACAGTTTTACTCTTAATAATATGAGTGGTTAATTTTTTCATCTCATAATTAAGAGTAGTCTGTATTTATTTTTCAAAACTAGACACTTATTTTGGGACAAATTAAAATAGAAACGCAAACACTTATTTTGAGGCGAAAGGGGTATCAAATCCAAGTTAACTTTCCCTTCCATGAAATTGGATATAGATTGATATCCTCATAAAGATTCATAATGAGAAGTTGTAATGTAGGTCTAAGTGATGAGATGAGAAAATTTACGATCGATAAGGGTGCATCAAGAACGATCATGGAGCAACTGCTACAAGATTTTTGTAGAGCTTAAAAATGCAACTTTTTTCATGCGTTGATCTATTAAAAGATCTGCTTTTATTTATTTATTTATGTTTTTGTACATCAATGACAATAATTTGATATCTTATAATCCTTCATCTAAATTCAATTTTCATGTTGTGAATTATAGAAACAGCTGAAAAGAGGGTATACACCACCATATGGAACAAACAGAAACAACCAAGTCATCAACATATGGTGGAGAAAGTCTTGGTCCTTCGTTACGTTTATAATTCTTGTCATCACATGGAAAACGAAATTCTGAAACGACAATGGCTTAGATGGGAAGTACATATATGTCACGCTATGGAGGATGTAGCCAAAAATTGTTGGTTTTTCTTTTCCTTGGCATCATTACAACATATCAAAGATATGAAAAGGGTATTCATCCCCCCCCCCCCCCCCCCCCTCAATAGAGAGATATAAATCTATTAGAAAAACTAAAAAAGTTCTTTAAAGTCAACCAAAACGATCGGACAACTCCCTTAAAAAGTGAAGTTGCTACAAAAACATGCCTAAGATGTAGTGTTGCATCTTATTGAAAGGTAGATTTGATTTAGAAAATGCATTTTATTCCTTAAATCGACACAATTAACTTTTTCTCTGGTCAAAATACATTGATTTCTCAACAGGATCAAACCGTTGCTTTACAAACTTTTGATCCACGGGTATTAATCACACCAAATATCATCCTTGGAGATTTAGAAATCAAAAGACTTGTTTGTTAGTAGCTTAATGAGTTTAATAAGACTCGCAACTTATTCAGACAATTATATATGATTATTTGGTACTGACTTAATAATATAGAATGTGACTTGTTTAATAAGCTTCTAGGGAGAGATTTATGCAAAAAAAACCAAGTTTTATTCTTCTTCTCCAAACATATCTATTCCAAATTAGAAAAAAAAACATGTTATTTTTTATCTATGAAAAACTCTCACAAACAAAAACTTTCTCAACTTGTATAGACAGACAATTTTATCCATATAAAACTTAGTGGAAAATCAACCAAACAACCCTTAAGCTGGCCAAGTTCAGAATAATTTGTTTAGTTTAATTTACATTGGTTTAGAAATTAAGCAGGTAGGATGGATGTAAAGTCTTAATTTAAGGGTAAATTGCATGAAAAAATAACGTACTTTAACTTGATTCTTATTTTGGGTAACATACTTTCAAAACATCCATTTTGGTACCTAAGATGTAAAGTTTTAAACATTTAAGTACTCAGGTAACCTATTGAAGACTAATTTTAGATTAAAAAAAGACTAATTTTAGATTAAAAAAAATTCACGTCACTAACCACGTCAACAAATAATACTGAGTTAGATACCACATCAACATGATAATTGGTTAATGCTTCAACCAGTTACCCGTGTACTTAAATGTTTAAAACTTTACATCTTAGATATCAAAATAGAAGTTTTGAGAGTACATTACCGAAAATAAAAATCAAATTAAAATACGTTATTTTTTTAGACAATTTGTCATTCACTTAAATATAAAAAGTAATATGAACAAAGATTTTTGCATTATCCCCAAGTTCTATGAGCTTGTGCATTGCGACTTTCCCACGTTGGATAAACACTAATTTTAGCATTTAGATTGGGTGATGATATATGCATTCTTACCGATTGGTAAAGTGCACTCCTTTCTATTCCTTAAGTCGAAGTCAACTAATTTTTTTTTCCATTAATTTTTTCCAAAAATTTATGTCTTATAAATTTATGTTTTATAAATTTTTTTCAACATTGTTTTCTAATTTTATTTTTCTAATTTATGTTTTATAATAAAATTTTACCAACTAAGGGGTTGTTTGTTTACCTCTTAATAGTTTTATTAAGAAACAGTCTCTAAATCGTTAAGAGGTAAATCTTGTTTGGTAAAAAAAAAGTCTGTCTCTTAATAATTTTAAAACCCTTTGAATGATTTTGTATCATGGGTCTCTCTTAACCATTCAGCGCTCTAATTTCATTGTAAACAATTATCAAACAATTATATTTGATTTTGCACTGTATCATGAGAGTCTTTTAATCATTCTGACCACTTAATCATTATGTACTAAACCATTCAACAACAGCCAAACAACCCCTAACTATTTCTAAATTAATTCAAATAACTATAAATTATTTTTAATTTTTATAATAGTATTATTAACGTTTTAATTAATAAATAAATTATATATGTATTTTTTAAATAAATATTTAAAGCTACAAAGATAAAATAATTTAATACAAAAAGATCATCAAAATAAGTTAATTGATGAATCAACAAATAAAATACAAAAAGTCGGAAAATATTTCCAACTAGCAATTAACAAGTTCAAAATCGTAAAGAGAGAATATTGAAATTGTTACTTGTGAATGAAAATACAAATTTCACTTCCCTTTTTATAGCAATAGTAAAATACACATCACTTCACTTAACTAATATTAAGTTCATTAGCATTTTCAAGAAGTCGAAAAAAAAAATTCTTCCAACCACCTCTAAGCTTATGTTTTCAAAATTTCGTTTCTATATATTTTTATTATAACAATACTAGGTTTGATCCCGTGTATTACACGGGGTAATTTGGAAAATTAAATCATGTCGGGAACTTATCTTACAGATATAAATAATCATCGAAAATACAATGCTACTTCAGACTTGTACTCTTGAAATGATTCTGAAGTATGATTCTGAAGAATAACTCTGGAAAATGACTCTTCAAACTTGAATTTAGGAATGAAACTATATCAATAATTAGTTAAGATGAAGTTAACCCTAAAATTAAATTAAATTTAGAAATGAAACTATATCAGTAAATTGAATTTAAACTAAGAAGTAAATTTAGAATGATTCTTCAGACTTGTACTCTTGAAATAGTTCTGAATTATAACTTTGGAGAATGACTTTAGACTTGTACTCTTTAAATAATTCAGAAGTAAAACTCTTCATACTTCAGAGCTCTGTATAGGCAAGCCAAAAGCTTTGCATGCACTATGCAGAGGCTCTGTATGCACTATGCAAAGGCTCTGCGTGGTGCTCCGTATGGAAAAAAAGACTTCAGATTTCGGGTGAGCTAACTCTGAAGAATGACTCTTCAAAATTGTACTTTGGAAATAACTCTAAAGTAAAACTCTGAAGAATGACTCTTCAGACTTGTACTCTTGAAATAACTCTGAAATATAAAATCAATCCACTAAATCAGAGTTCAGACTTTTAAGTTTGAAAAAAAAGACTTCAGAGTTTGGTTGAGTTAAGTCTGAAAAATAAGATTTCGGAATTCGGGTGAGCTAAGTCTAAAAAAGAAGACTTCAGAATTCGGGTGAGCTAACTCTAGAGAATGATTCTTCAGACTTGTACTCTTCAGACTTGTAGAAGACTTCAGAGTTTATACTTCTAAGTCTGAAAAAGAAGACTTCAGAGTTCAGACTCCAGAGTTTGGGTGAGCTAAGTCTGAAAAAGCAGACTTAAGGGTTCGAGTGATCTAACTTTTTAGAATGACTCTTCAGACTTGTACTCTTGAAATAACTCTGAAGTATAATTCTGAATAATAACCCTAAAGAATGACTATTCAGACTTGAATTTAGAAATGAAACTATATCAATAATTAGTTAAAATGAAGTTAATCCTAAAATAAAATTGAATTTAGAAATGAAACTATATCAATAAGTTGAATTTAAACATAGAAGAGCGCATGGGTGAAATCTGAAGACGAAGTCTGAATACCTTGAGTTTAGAGTTATTCAAATACACAATATCTTTGAAAAAGACCCCATGGTAAATTTTGCATCATACAGAGCAAGACCAACTAGAGCTCCTATGATCCTTAAGGACCAGAGCCTATGTAGACTTACCAACCAAAAGCAAGGCCAACCAAAGACCCTTTGGTCAACCAGAGCCCCTCTGGTTAACCAGTGCCTCTAGGTAAAAAAAATGTTAAATACTTGAAGAATTTGAGTTCCAATTACAACTAGAGACCCTCTGGTTAAACATGAAGATCAACCAGAGCCCCTCTGATTCCTTTATAATGGATTGGAATATTCTTTTCAAGGGTCAAATAAACAACCAGAAGTAAATCCATCTAGAAACTAGACCAACCAGAGGGGCTCTAGCTTACAAGACTAAGTCTAAGTCTTAAAGACTTATCTTCAAAGTCTAGATAAGTTTATTACAAGACTTGTACTCTTGAAATTACTCTAAAGTAAAAACTCTTCAGTCTTTAGAGCTCTGTATAGGCAAGTGTTGGTCCCTTGAGGGTCTACAAGAATAGTAAAACAGTTTGTAGAAGGGGGGGGAT